GAGCCAATAAAGAAGAGAAAAAGTAAATATATTTGCAAGAAAGAGGACCGCTTGGATTTGGTAGGTGGTAGTGGGGTGGAGAGAGAAAACACGGGGACAGTGGATGAAGAATGATGTTTAGTTTTCTGGTTTGGGGCTCAGTTAATGGAGGTGCCCCTTACTGAGAGGGAGGACAGAAAAGAAGGATCGCGTGTGTTCTTTCTTAAGGTGATCTCCACTGTGGGCACGGTGTATTCACTGTGCCTGCAGGACATTTTACGAGCTAGTGAGCAGATGAAGATTTGGATGTGCAGTTCTGAAGCTGGACTAACATGGGAATTACGAGTCACGAGCATATTGATAGGAATTTAATCTTTGGAAAACTGTGAAGTGGGGAAGACCCTCACGGTTATGGGCACAGGAAGAGGAGCCCATAAAGCAGCTGAGGAAGTTGGACCCAAGTTGCAGAGGAAATGCAAGATAATGTTTATCTTCCCTACTGGGACTTCCTAAGTTACATGTTCTAGAACAATCATTTTCAAGCATTAAATGTCTGTCAAAATCACCTGGTGTGCTTGTCAAAAATTTGGTTTCCTGGACCCACCTCCAGAGACTCCTAGATAGCAGTGCAGAGTGGTAGCCATTTCTGCATTTTTTATGATGATTTTTATTTTTTATTTTAATATGTTTTATTGATTTTTTAAAAATATATTTTATTGATTTTTTACAGAGAGGAAGGGAGAGGGATAGAGAGTTAGAAACATCGATCAGCTGCCTCCTGCACACTTCCTACTGGGGATGTGCCCGCAACCAAGGTACATGCCTTGTCCGGAATGACACTCTATCCACTGAGCCAAACCGGTTAGGGCCACTTCTGCATTTTTAACAGGCATCCAAGAAGATTATAACAAAGGTGATACGGCCGAGACCGGTTTGGCTCAGTGGATGGAGCATCGGCCTGCGGACTGAAAGGTCCCGGGTTCGATTCCGGTCGAGGGCATGTACCTGGGTTGCGGGCACATCCCCAGTGGGAGATGTGCAGGAGGCGGCTGATCGATGTTTCTCTCATCGATGTTTCTGTCTCTCTGTCTCTCTCCCTTCCTCTCTGTGAAGGATCAATGAAATATATTAAAAAAAAAAAAAAAAAAGGTGATAGGGGAAATGTACCTTGAGAAACGCCTTTCTAGGAGACAGTGTGACAGCAAGGCTTTGGAATCAGACTTCCGTTAGGGTCCTGGCTTTTTCCACTTACTGGTTGTGTGGCCATGAGCAAGTTGGTTACTTTCAGGCTTGTTTCCCGGTCAGTGCTAGAGATATAATAAAGACCTCCTCTCAGAATTATTCCAGGGCGTGTAGGAGACACACTCCATTACATTCCTGGCATATAGAAGGAGCTCAGTGAATGTCAGTTGTCTTTTCGACACTTGAAAAACCCAGAACGCAGCTGTAAACCTAAAAGCCAGGGGAAAAGGAGAAGGAAATAGCTGTCATTAACCTCATGCATTTTGTTTTGTAGGAGCTCAGAGCCAACTGCTTTTTACCTTGAGCCTACTGAATTAGAATTGTGTGAAATTAAGTTACTGATTTAATAGATTTCATTATCTAGGTTTCTCCTGGCAGCCTTTAGTTCTATAGACATTAAATTCCAACAGCATGATATAGGCAAGGTTAAAGTGTGAAATAGAAGCTGAGGGAAATTTAATAGAGGGACAAACACCTAAAAAATCTTGAGGGCATCAATGTATTGTAACAATATAAAAACTAACATTCAAGTTAATACTACTAGATCATCAAGGAAATGTTAAATTACGTTTAAAAGAATTGTTTGAGAAGTGGGGAAATATATGTTTCAGAAAAATTTCCATTATAATTACTAACATTTTAGAGCTTGGGCACTTAAAGGAATAACCTTATGCTATTTGGGAAGTTCACGGAAATGAAATATTTTATTCTTCTTTTGAAGTCTGAGTAGATGAACTTATATGACTGTATTTCTCTTGTGATTGGCAGGTTACTATTTTTAACAATCTGCCTCAAGTCAACAGGTGACCTTGAAACTATCCCTGCACTGGGGAACTAACCTATTTATGAATTATTATGAATTGCCATTGAATGCTAAGGTTTCTCCTTTGTCTCTGTCTCAAAGAGAGGTTGGTGTGAAGGGAGAAGACCAGGGTCTTATCATAGCCATATTTTGCTCATTTCATGTCTTGAGCTTCCTATCTCACACTGGCTAATTGGAAATATGGCTACTTTATGGTTATGGGTTTGCAAAAGCTATTGAGAAAGAGTAATGAATGTCCCTCCATTTTCTTCAATCTTTCTGGTACTATACTCCTACCCCCACTTGGACGTTTATATGATTATTTATCCTCTAATACTCAGCAGTCAGCTGAATAGGTCTAGGTATTAGTTGCTTCTGACTACTTTCATATCTTGTAGTGAAAATTTAATCCATTTGCAGTCTAGTGGATCATTAATGTTTCAGGAGCACTTATGAGAAGGTAGAAAAGGTCTGGTAAGGTGTTACTAGCTTCTGTCTCACTTTACCTATAATGCTACCTCGCTTGTTTTAAGTGTTCAGTATAAATTTGTTGAATGAGTGGATGAATGACTTAGTCTTCTTTGAGACTATTAGAAGAACTAACTGTGCTTACCATTTATTATTATTACTAGAGGCCTGGTGCACAAAATTCGTGCACTTGGGCGGGGGGTCCTGTTAGCCCGGTCTGCACCCTCTCTCGGGGAGCAGGCCTAAGCCATCAGTCAGACATCCTTAGCACTGCCTCGGAGGCAGGAGAGGCTCCCGCCACCACCGCTGCGCTTGCCAGCCATGAGCCCGGCTTCTGGATGAGCAGCACTCCCCTTGTGGGACTGGGCCGAAACTGTCTCTCTGACATCCCCCCAGGGGTCCCGGATTGCGAGAGGGCGCAGGCCAGGCCGAGGGACTCCACTGGTGCACCATCGGGGCCAGGGAGGGACAGGGGAGGTTGGCCAGCCGGGGAGGGACTGTGGGAGGACTCCAGGGTGTGTCCGGCCCTTCTTGCTCAGTCATGATCAGCAGGACCCCAGCAGCAAGCTAACCTACCGGTCAGAGCGTCTGCGCCCTGGTGGTCAGTGCATGTCATAGTAAGTGGTTGAGCAGCCTTAGCATATCATTAGCATATTATGCTTTGATTGGTTGAACGGCCAACTGGACGACTGGACATTTAGCATATTAGGCTTTTATTATATAGGATTATTATGATAGTTGTTCCCCAATGTTGTTGTCCTAGCGAGGTATTTTGCAAAACATGTCCTGGGATTACCGTTCCATAAAATGTTCTGTGAAAAAGGGTTCCATGGGCAAGTAATTTTGGGAAATGCTGCATTCTAAATCTTTCTCCTAGAAAGTCAATTAATATGTGAATATATTAAGGACCTAAAGAAGACCTGCACTAACAAAACCTCTTTAACTTTATTTAATTCAGAATTTCTCAAACTTACTTGATCATAGAAGCCTATTCATATCCCATAAATCATATTTTAGTAAATGCTGTGTTAATTTTTAGAATTTTTCTGAGTTCATTGTAGACTGTTTCCACAAAGCAAACTTCACATTTTAAAATCTGAATTGTTTATTCAATCAACCAAAGAGATGTAAATTATGAATGAAAATGATTAGAATGTCCAGATTTAAGTCAGGAATTGCTAACTCAGATGATTTTTCCATTTGATGTTTTGAACAAGATGTAATCCGGAAAACCTTTTAAAAATGTATGTTACTTCAGGCATTAAATTAGTATATTTAAGAAAAGGAGATGTATATTATTTGGTACATTGAGCTGAGAGAGCCCATCACCCCACAATGTGGAAGCATTTGTATATTTGCCCTGAGCTCAGTAAGAAAGACAGCTGTGCCCTGACTGGTTTGGCTCAGTGGATAGAGCATCGGCCTGCAGACTCAAGGGTTCCAGGTTCGATTCCTGTCAAGGGCATGTACCTTGGTTGCGGGCACATCCCCGGTCGGGGGTGTGCAGGAGGCAGCCGATCGATATTTCTCATCGATGTTTCTAACTCTCTATCCCTCTCCCTTCCTTTCTGTAAAAAATCAATAAAATATATTTTTTTAAAAAGAAAGACAGCTGTCCTTATTATTTAAACTAGAAAATAATCTAGAAAATAGACCTAGAGCTGCACAGCTTTTCTATGAAAATGGCATAACTGGGTGAAATAGGAAAGCTAATTTTATTAGATAAGAGTATCAGATCCGTTGTTGTATTCCTGCTTTATTTTTCTTTAGTATCTGACTGAAGCTCAATTCGTGTTTTCTTTTGACACTTCATCATATGAGATTCAAATGTGCTTTACTAGTTTAATTCTTCACTGACTGGTTAAGAAACTACTTTCTTTAGTTTGGTTTTAGTAACTAATGCTTCTCTACTTGCTTTACCACTCCTCTCCATCCAGATACTTTGTTATCCCCTCACATCTTTTAATAATTAATTTTGTTTTGTTCTGCTTTGTTTTTAAAATTTAGAGTTTAATTCATGTGAATTTAGGAATTTTTTAAAAGAAAAGTTGCATTTTAGAGGCTTTAGAGGGGTGGTGAGAGAAGATGGTGATGAGAAGAGATAGTGGTAAATAAAGCCCAGGAATCTTCTTCTAGTCAGGTTCCCTACTGGCTTACTAAGTCTGAAAGAACCACGGGTTTGTAGAGGAAATTCAAGAGCTCCAGTTCTTGAAATTTTTGTACATAAAAGTGTCTTATTTCCATAGATCCTTCTAAATAAGACCACTATCTTCAGACCTCTTCCTCCGGTTCACTAATATATCCTTTTTAAACCCAACCATTCCAAATACTTATGTGCTTTTAGAATTAAAAGTGATATCTAGAAACATTATTTAAGCATTATGTTACGAAAGCAGTATTACCAAAAATGACTCCCAGAATTGACAAAGAAAATCTAAATAAAAGATAATTGGCCATTTGTACTCAACTGTAAGAAATGAAATTTTGACTTTCATTTTATCTTCCACAGACAAACAGCAGAAAGGTGAATTTGCAATTGATGGCTACCACGTCAGAATGAATAACACTCTTAGGAAGGACGCGAAGAAAGATTGCTGTTTCGAAATCGCTGCTCCTGATAAGCGTGTCTATCAGGTGGGAGTTTTTATGTTGTTTTGAAATTAAGTTGATAAAATGTTCTGATTTCATTTATAAAGACATTAACATTTTGTTGAAACAACTCTCCCTGACATGTTAATAATAAAAAAATATTGGTTTTTATGCATTGAACATTCACTATGGAGGTAATACATTTTAAAAAATTCAGATTAGTTCAAGTGATATCTTCTTGAAAGAGAACAAGTGAATATGTAATTTATCAGTTACCTCACATGTTGCATTTTATGTCTCTTTTAAGAGAACCGTGTGATTTCTTAAAAGAATTACATAGCAGAAAGAGTGAAATTATCAAAAGAAAACTCTCAGAGTGTTAATGCAGATTGCATGGCTTAGGGTTGTGGGAGAAAATGAAAGCACGAATCAGCTTTGCAATTCAGGAGCTATCAGCGAGCATCAATATGGAATGTATGTTTAATAAGTTTTAAATATCTGAGATTGCAGTTGAAAGCCAGTTAATTAAGTTGTCAGATAGTGTGTTGGAATCTGACAAGAACATTTTTAAGAAAACTGTACCCAGCAGTCTAAAGAAATTCATGGGTGTCTTCTAATTGTCAAGGGCAAATTTTGTTCATCAGTTCTGTCTTTGACATTGATGGAGAGAAGCAGCTTTTTTTCCTGCACAGCTGCCAGCTGCTGATCAGAGTTTCAAATCCATCATCCTCTGCTTCAATTACGTAAATTTGTCAAAATTAACTGTACATTATAAGAAGCATCCTTGCAAGAAAAGTAGTATTAGACATGAAAAGAATTACTAATGGTCTTCAAGAAATGATAAGAATGGGACATACTTTCTTTTCTACTGTGGTGATTTTTCTTGTTATTGTTTGTTTTTTTATTAGTTCACAGCAGCTTCTCCCAAAGATGCCGAAGAATGGGTACAGCAGCTGAAATTTGTATTACAAGGTAAGAGCAATCAATTGAACAAGTTATTGCAGCCTTTAAATACTGAATAACTGAGGATTTGGATTTTTGTATGTCAAAAGCTTATTGAATTTCTGTGAGAATGACCAGGGGACATACATGACTGGTATTAATACAGACCATTGACTGCAGATTTAGAAAAGTATTCTGTAAGTTCCAATTGGCAATTTGAAATTCCCATATTTATGCACAAATCAGTTTTTTAAAATGTTTTAAGTTAAAGATATAGCATATAATGATCTTGTGATTTTTGTAAGGCTACATTCAGTTAGAAAATAGGGTTTTGAAAATCTCTTTTGCGTTTTTTACAAGTGATGAACAAGTAAGCATTAATGAGTTTAATGGCATTACACATTCAAGATGCTTGCTTCCCGAAACGTGTTTTGTAGATATGGGATCTGATATTATTCCCGAGGAGGATGAAGAAGGAGGAGAATTATATGATGATGTTGATCACCCTCTACCAACCAGCAGTTCACTAGCCAGCAGTCAACCAATTGATGATGAAATTTATGAAGAACTTCCAGGTATTTATTGTCTGGTTATTCATTTAGGATTTGAGAACTTTTCTTTATTTTTAATGTCATCAAGTTGACAACTTAAGTAGAAAATGATGAGCTATTAAGAACAAGGGCAAAGAAAATCTTTAAAATTCTATTTTACAAAAAGAGTTCTGCTTGAGGTATTTCAAGTGAGTGGATGTACACTTATGAAAAGTGAACGGAATGTTAAAATGAAGCAGATACAGTCCTAATCTCATGGGACTTTTGGCTCATTAGCATTGTTTATGCTACATAATTTTTTAATTAAAAAATTGACTTGCTTTACAGTTTTTTCCACCAACTCACACATCATTTTTTATTTATACATCTTGGAACTTCCATTAACCAGAAGTTCTGTGCACACCCCATATGTCAACAGCTTCTGCCTCATGTATTCCACCTCGCTCTAGTGTATAGCATTGTCTTAGAGCAGCGGTTCTCAACCTGTGGGTTGCGGCCCCTTTGGGGGTCGAACGACCCTTTCACAGGGGTTGCCTTAAGACCATCAGAAAACACATATATAATTACATATTGTTTTTGTGATTAATCACTATGCTTTAATTATGTTCAGTTTGTAACAATGAAAATACATTCTGCATATCAGATATTTACATTATAATTCATAACAGTAGCAAAATTACAGTTATGAAGTAGCAACGAAAATAATTTTATGGTTGGGGGTCACCACAACATGAGGAACTGTATTAAAGGGTTGCGGCATTAGGAAGGTTGAGAACCACTGTCTTAGAGGTATATTGTTGAACTATAAACAAAGGCCCTTTAAAATTTGGATTTTTCTTATTTCATATTTCATCGATAAGAATGTTTTCTTATTCTGTGTTTAAAAGCATGCTTTAGTGTTTGTATGCCTTGGTATCTGTTTCATAACAAAATTAATTGTCTATTAGCTTATTTCAATTATAGTTTTAAGGTCAACCTAAAATAGAAAGATAGGCATGTGGAACTTAGGATACTTAGAATATGAAAACATTCAGGGAATTATTGCATTACTCTAGATGAAATGAGCCCCTTTTCTGGCCATTAAAAATCTTATAAAAAGGGTGATAAGCAGTGTACTAGTAATCCTTTAAGATAATCTAGAGAGGCTATTTTTCTCTGAATAGAACAATTTAATGATGTAGTATAAACCTTAAAATTGATTTCAAAAATACTTAAAATGTTCCAAATTAATGTACAAATGTCATTTTCATTGACGTCAATAGAGCATAATAACTAGCATATGGACTTTAGAATCAGAAAGTTTAAATTCTGGCTGTACCATCTAGCCCTGTGACTTTAAAAGTCAATTTCTTCACTTATAAAATGGGAAGAATACCATGGGGCGGGGGGGCAGCTAATGTATATAAAGCTCTCAGTACCATGCTTGAATCATAGAAAGTCCACAATAAATTGTACATCACTATTATTTTCATTATTGTATCTGGTAAATTTTTACCAATGCTTATATGAGGTCAAAGAATAATTTTCTGAATAAGTAAGAATTAGTGAGTTTTTAAAATATATTTTTATTGGTTTCAAAGAGGAAGGGAGAGGGAGAGAGAGATAGAAACATCAATGATGAAAGAGAATTATTGATCGGCTGCCTCCTGCACACCGCACACTGGGGATCGAGCCCACAACCCGGGCATGTGCCCTGACTGGGAATTGAACTGTGACCTCCTGGTTCATAGGTCAATGCTCAACCACTGAGCCATGCTAGTTGGGCAAGAATTAGTGATTTTGATGGTATTATACATTCAAAATATAAAAACTACTCAAAATATGTGTCTACATATTGTCTTTCACTACCCCAGAAGAAGACAATTAGTATAAAAGCATACCTTTGTGGGGAATAGTAACCTGTATATTTTTGTTAATTTTAATGAGCTATGTGTTTATAGCTCCTCCTTTCTGATTTATCCTAAGGAAATGACATCTGCCATAGCATTAGTCATCCTCAAGTAGGAAAGACTATTCTCTGCTTGCTTTTATCACACTATATCATTAATACAATTATTTTAGTTTAAAAATGTTCTTAAGAGCTTGTGAGAATGTATACTGATGTCAAATGGAAGAGTATAATCTCTTTAAATATATTATTGTCGTGTACTTTTCACTACTTTAAAACCCTGCAATGAATGAGTCACAGTACAGTTGTTGTTTAGCTGTTAATTAAGTTGTGTTTCTTTAACTTGATCATTCTCTCCTCATGCTCCCAAATAAAATATTGGTAAAGAATAAAGATCAAACATTCATAGTAATATATAATAATAAAAGCATAATATGCTAATTAGACCGGACACCCAAATGACCTTCCGGACATCATTCTGAACATCCTTCCAGACAAAGCTGCAGTGGTAGGGGCGGAGACAGAGGTGATTAGGGGTGATCAGGCAGGCAGGCAAGCAGTTAGGGGAGATCAAACAGGCAAGTAGAGTGGTTAGGGGTATTCAGACATCAGGCAGGTGAACAGTTAGGAGCCAGAGATCCCAGATTGCGAGAGGGATGTCCAACTGCCCGTTTAGGCCCGATCCCATAGGAGTCCCGATTGCGAGAGGGTGAGAGGGTGCAGGCTGGGCTGAGGGACCTCCCCCCACCCCTGTGTATGAATTTTGTGCACCAGGCCTCTAATTTTTATAATAAAGGCCCAGTGAAAATCTCCTGGAAGTAGCTTAAAATCTTAAAAATATGAAACATCTTTTATTTTCTCTCACTACAGATGTTCTTCTTTTCCCCTTTTTTTGGCCTGGGGCCATATGATTGTTGGAAAAAACTGGTTACTCTTTAGTCTTATTTCTTGCTGAGGTACTGGAAGAAACCTAAGCTGCTCTGGGATTCCGTGGCCCCTGCCTGGGATACCAGTTGCTGTACAAAGTGATTGAGCTTGTAGAGCCTGCAACCGTGCCCCCGGGAAGGAAGCTGGTGCAGGCAGCTGAGGAATGTGTAGTCTTCTTTCTTCCCCAGTGGAACCGAGACCCGCTTCAGCATCTGCACAGTTCAAGTTTGTCAAGTTTCAGCCAGTTGCTACGGAGGGGATTTTTCTTAGTAAAAGCCCTAAAGTTGCCTCTTAGTAGAGCTTTTATTTGATTAAATATCTAAACCTAGAAAGGTAACTTTTTTTCCTTTAAAAAGAAAAAATCCTGCCTCCAGTATAAAAATTAAGCTAATTGCTTTCACTTGGGTGAAATAGGAATATAATTCTGAGAGGAAGTGAAAACAGTAGAAAAGCAGTGAATGTATTTACAAACTGTTGGTGTTTTTCCAGTTCTGTACAAAGAACTGCATTTCTCAGAAATCTGACTGGTTAAATTCCCAGAATTAATAAATATGACCATTTCAACACAACTTTCTGTCAATTACATATAGTTGAAAACTAATCCCCTTAGCTGAAAGATAAAGCCTATTGTATGTTTGAAGAAAAAATCTAAGCATTCAATACATATTACTTTAAATCACACAGTTCTACTGAGAAAGTACAGCTCTGATTCTAATAAATGTATTTTTAATGTAAAATAAACCTACAGTGTTTAAGTCTCAAGAGTAAGAAGAAGAAAACACTGTTTAAAAAATTGTATTGCAAAATATCCCCTGAAAAATGTTTATAATCTATGGGAATATAAGTAGTTTCATTGTAATTGTTTTTCAGTTAGAATATTCTAACTTTATTACAGCAGCTTCTCTTTAATTTCTTGTTCATTAATTTTTAACTAACTTCATAAAAGAGTAAGAATAAATTTTTAAGATTTCTTTGCATTTAGGGGATTTTACATATGTACAGAAAATTTGAGAGTGCGAGATTTCTGGGGAAAATTAAAAGTATGTGCCTTTTTCTTCAAATACCCTACTGTTTTGACACCTTTTATGTCTTAGGACCTATGAGCATAGGCCAAGTCAGGTTTGCGTAGATTGTGATATTACTCTAGCATGTTTGTGTTTTCAGAGCTAATGTATTGATCAAAGTGCGTTAAACTGTTCCATAACACAGTAATGAGTTCATTTGGCTTAGCACGAATTTCAGAAGTAATTGCTCATTTTCCATTAGAAATGCGGAGGAGCATTTTTATTTGATTTTTGAATCTTGAAAAGAGAAAATAGTATGTGGGAAATTGCCGCAGAAATTAACCCAACTTACTCATCTTTTCTAGTTACCATGTCACTTGCTTTTTAATTTTTTTAATTTTTTTTATGTCAGGAAATTATGCAGAAGCGACAGAAACAAAAAAGATTTTTCTAGATATAGACTGAATAGAATTAGCCCAGTAATAAGAATGGAAACCACTCATTAGTCTATTAATCTGTAGCGTTCAGGGGAATTGCATTTGAAATCCTCTGGCAAGTAGACTAAAGGGGAGGGCACAACATAAAGCAGGAAGACAAATTTCCAGTTTCATTAACCTCTTTTTTAAAAGTGTTAATTCATTCCTTTTTAAAAAAATTTTTTTGTAATATATTTTATTAATTTTTTACAGGGAGGAAGGGAGAGAGATAGAGAGTTAGAAACATCGATGAGGGAGAAACATTGATCAGCCGCCTCCTGCACACTCCCCGCTGGGGATGTGCCCGCAACCAAGGTACATGCCCTTGATCGGAATCGAACCTGGGACCTTTCAGTCTGCAGGCCGACGCTCTATCCACTGAGCCAAACCGGTTTCGGCCTCCTTTTTAAAAATTTTAATGACAGATTGAACTAATCTGAGCCAGAAAAGGATGTTTTTCTCCTTTGATCATTCAATTTCATTTTAAATTTATTCAGTCCTACTATCTGCATTGAAGATGGAATATGAAGCAAAAGGCAGCTGTTAATTTTTTTTGGAGTGAAACTCTTATGTATACATAAAAAAGAACACTTTGGGTATTTAAATTTGGAGTACTCTCCAGCAAGTGGACACAAATGCTCACATCACCAATAAGTGCTTAAAACCCCTAAAATACATTTCAGCTCTATTTTCTTGCGGAAAGATGGTCAGTCATATTACCAGGTTAAT